TTTAAAAAAAGAAAGAATATGTGTGTGTGTGTTAGACAGAGACAGGACTCTTTGACTTTCTGCCTGGGGTTTGAGGTCCTGGCTTGGGGGTCAGGTTCTGGGGGTGCCCCACAGGCAGGAGGATGGTTTCCGTCTTGGTGGCCTAGGTTCGGATTTGGTTATGTGGCTCTGGTGGCTCCATGCCTCGGTTTCCCCATCAGTATAATGGGATGATAGCTGAGCCTGCCTTGCTTTGGGGGGGGCTGTTGTGACTTTTCCAGCCTGACCTCCTTCTTGGGGCCTTCCTGGGTTCCCCCCACCCCCCGCAGCCTCACTCCGGGCATCCAGCCAAGCTCCTGGCCATGTGCTCGGTGCTCCCTGAGCCCAGCTGCTTCCTGCGCTCAAACAAAGAGGGCTCTGTCCCCAGGCCACCCCGGCTGGGCAGGCCCAGCACGCCCCGCACAACACCGGCTGCAGGCAGCCACCCGCCTCCACCCGCCCCTCCGCCGCCATGTCTCCTGTCCCCAGCCCTGGCCCGCCCTGCTTCCACCCCTTCCCCAAGCCCGTGGGCATCTGGGCGTCTCCTGGCCGGGGCACCCACAGCTGAGTCCCGTCTAGGCACCCACAGCTGAGTCCCGTCTACGCGGGGAGGGCTCCGGAACTGCTCAGAAAGTCCGAGGAAGGTGGCGCTGAACTGCCTCAGAGTGACCTTAACGGGATGACAGTGGCGGCCGGGGTGTGTGTGTGTGCGCGCGCACTCGGCTCAGGGTGACATTAATGGTGTGACAATGTGACAGCAACAGGTGACAATGTAGCAGGAACTGGGAAGGATGGGAAGACAGTTTGACAGCAACAGGTGACATTGTAATTAAAAAAAAAAAATAAAAACCCACTAGGGGTTGGTGTCCTGTTGGCAGGCAGGCTGTGTTACAGTGACAGAAGACAATAAGGACACAATGTACAAATAAAGGGCCAGGTGACAGCAGGAGACAGTGTTGCTGTGAGAGACGACAGGCACAGGACAGTCTGAGACCGTGGTTGACAGCAGCAGGTAAGAGCAATGCCAGGCGTTCGACACCTCGGAGGCCATCGGGGGATTCGACCCGCTGCTTGGATCTGGGAAATCTGCCCCTCCGTGTGACGGGTCCCACGCAGAACCCCAGGACCCCGCTTTGCCCAGGGTGGGTGACGCCAGTGTCTGACATCTGGGACCAGCCAGCAGCGGTGGCGGGGGGCCCGGGGAGCCGGAGATGGCCGTTGGTGCCTTCGTGGGGCCAGACTCAAGGGCGCAGTGGGTTGGCTCTGCGCCCGGCTGGTGCTGGCCGTTGCTGCTGGTGCTAAGAACTCCGATGCTCTGGGTGACAGCCCGACTGTTAATGGATGACAAGGTCACAGCCACCAGGTGCAGGTGTAAAAGTGATGGGAGGTGGCACGACGTCCTGGGCAGCCAAGTAACCAGAACACGAAAGGTGTCACACACACAGGTGACAATGAGACAGGGGCACGTGACAGGGTGGCTGTGGCACAAGAACTTGGTGACAATGCAGTTTTTTTTTTTTTTTTTTTTTTTTTTGAGACAGCGTCTCGCTTTGTTGCCCAGGCTAGAGTGAGTGCCATGGCGTCAGCCTAGCTCACAGCAACCTCAAACTCCTGGGCTCAAGCGATCCTCCTGCCTCAGCCTCCCGAGTAGCTGGGACTACAGGCATGCGCCACCATGCCCGGCTAATTTTTTGTATATATATTAGTTGGCCAATTAATTTCTTTCTATTTATAGTAGAGACGGGGTCTCGCTCTTGCTCAGGGTGGTTTCGAACTCCTGACCTTGAGCAATCCGCCCGCCTCGGCCTCCCAGAGTGCTGACAATGCAGTTTTGATGGGGGGACTGTGACGTGCTTTGTCTTCATCACAGTCTTGGGTGGCACTGTGACACGAGGGGAAGGACTGGGCGCCTCAATGTCCCTTCATGACAGTGAGAAGTAACAAGGGGACAGTCAGGGTGACACTGTCCATGTGACCACGTCAGGAACGGGCAGCAACTTTGCAGACCAGGTGTGTTATTTTATTGTTTTTGTTTTTTGAGACAGAGTCTTGCTCTGTCACCCAGGCTACAGTGCCGTGGCATCAGCCTAGCTCACAGCAACCTCAAACTCCTGGGCTCAAGCGATCCTCCTGCCTCAGCCTCCCGAGTAGCTGGGACTATGGGCATTTTCAGTCATCTGGCTAAGTTTTCTATTTTTAGTAGAGACGGGGTCTCGCTCTTGCTCAGGCTGGTCTGGAACTCCTGGCCTCAAACGATCCTCCCGCCTCGGCCTCCCAGAGTGCTGGGATTACAGGCGTGAGCCACCGCGCCAGGCCTGTCCCTTTCTACTGAGCCTCTGAGCTCCCATCCGCAGAGAGAGGGCTCCTTCCCGCCCTCCCCTCCTAGGGTCTGTCCCTCTGGCTTGGGTCTCCAGGTCTGGGGACCCACAATGGGAGGCACCCGAGGGCTAGACCAAGACCTTCCCAGCTCGGATGTGGGGGTGCTGGGCAGGGGCTGGGGACATCTCCATCTGCGAGGGCTTCTCTCCCCCTCCCCAGTACTTCCACCCTCCTTAGAGACCCTCCCCAGACCTGGCCGTCCTTTCCTCACTCAACTGCTCCCAGGGACCCACCTCCCTGTGCAAGAAATAATCTGATGGGCTCAAGTGAGCCAGTAGTCCACCAGGGGCCAGTGTAGCAAAGATCACGGACCCGGGTCCAGCGGGTTTGGATTCCCGCTCCATCGCCACCAAGAACTGCCAGCCTTGACAAGCTGTGTGACATGCACGCGCCCCAGTTCCCTCGTCTGCAAAGTGCGGACTCTGCGAGCATCTCCGGCACAGGCATTTCTGCTCGTTAAGTGAGATAATGTGTATGAAACTCTCAGCCACAAGCCGGGCACGCTGTAAGCACCCAAAAAATACCAGCTCGAATTGTTATATGCTGTTTACTTATTACATGCCAGAAGTGTGATGATGGAAGCATGTTCAGCACCATCGGCTTTGGGAACTCGATAGGGTCAACTAACGATGTAGGGAGTAGGGAGGGGCTTTTTGAACTGGGCTTTGACAGATGTATAGGAGTTTTATGGGTGGGGTAGCTGTTGCTTCAAGCCCAACAAACAGCTTCTGACTGTTGGATCCCCATGTTAAGTAAGAATCACCTGGGGTGTCTATTCTCTAAGGTCTGAAAGTGGTGAGAAACCTAGAAATTATTGCTTGGGGTACAGACTCCAGATAGTTCACTCGTTGGTTTGCTTATAGTTTTTAGGGACCCACCAATCTCAGTCTATAGTAGTTAAGAATCCAGGCTTCGGGGTTCAGGTCAGTTTCCGATGTCTCTGAATTCTCCTGGCCCCAGGGAGGGGGAAAACGAGGGACGGCCACCCAGGTGAGTGCCCGCCACCCAGGTGAGTGCCACCCAGGTGAGTCCCGGGACTTCCCCGCCCTGGCTGGCACCCAGGCCGCCCCAAATAGGAGCCCCACGTCAGGGTCACCTCCCGCTCCATCTCAAAACGAAAACGCGGCCCAGGCAGCCCCAACAGGCGCCCCTCAGCCCCGAGCCCCCCGCCCGCCCGCCCGCCCTCCCCGTCCAGCCCCCCGGAGTCTCACCCGGAGCCCCAGGCCTCCGCCCAGCCGCAGCCTCGCTCCCCGCCCGGATCCGGATCGCACCCGAGCCCCCCGCCCCCGCGCCCGCCCCGGGAGCGCCGAGGTGCAAACGCGCCCTCCCCCGCCCGGCTCCTCCCGCCCCGAGCGCGCGGGGTCGGCCTCGCTCGGCGGGAGCCGGCCGTGCCGCGGGGACCCCGCGCCGCCTCCGCACGCCTCGCAGGCAGGTGAGCCCGCGGGGCAGGCCGGGGGCGCGGGAGGGGACCGGCGGGCCGGGGGCGCGGGCGGGGACCGGCGGGGGCGGGGCGGGGGCGGGGATTCCTTTGTCTGCGGCCCCGCGCCCGGCGGGTCCCCTCCCCTCTCCGCTTCCGAGGCGGCGCGGGGCGGCGGGAGCGCTCGGCCGGGGCGCGCGGGCCCGGCCCGCAGGTGAGGGCGGAGCCAAGCGAGGTCGCGGCCCGGTGGCTTCTGCGTCCTCCCGTCCCGCCCCGGGGAGACCCTCGCGGCTCGCGGGCTCCGGGGGCGCCCGCTCCTCGCCGCCCGAGCCCGGGACTCGCCCCGCTCCCCGCCGCGCCGCGCGCGCCGTCCCGGCTCATTCATTCCGCGGACTCGGGCGCGGCTCGGCGAGGCCGGCGGGGGAGCAGGGCACCGGACGGCCCGGGCGACGCCCGCCAGAGGCAGGCCGGGGGCTGGGCGGGCTCGCGGGCCGAGGCTGCCTGGAGAGGGCGTCCGCGGAGCGCAGAGCGGCCCGGCGACCTGGAAGCAAGAAGGGGGCGCCCTAGAATCCTCCCCCCCTGTCTCCCCTCTACTTGGGCTTCAGCTCTGGCCCAGCCGCTCACTGATGATGCCACAGTCTCAGTTTGCCCATCTGCGAAGTGGGCACAGGGGCGTGCCCCGCGTTGGGAAGTCGCAGAATGCCCAGCTGGCTCCTCCAGACTTGGCACCGCCCGTCCCCGCGCCCACCCCTCCCTCCCCATTCAGCCCTCCCAGCTGGACTCTGGGGGTCCCCTCAATGCCCCCCACTTTCCCTCGCATTAGCCTCCCACTCTCTCTGGTCCAGACACCTGCCCCAGCCTCCCCTGGGGCCCCGGGAGCCCCTCCCGCGCCATCTAACAAGCATTTCTGACCTTGTTCTTCTCACTTCAAGCTTTTCAAGGGCTCTTCATTGCCCTTGCCTACAAGTAGGAGCCCCATTACACAACTGCGCCCACTCCTGCCACACCTGGCTGCACCTGGCCCTGTCTCCTGTCCCCTCCACGCCTTTCTTGCCTCTGTTTGGGCCGCGCCCTAGGACCCGGGTTCTGCCCTAGGACCTCTCTCTTGGCTAATTCCACCACACCGCCTCCTAGAAGCCCTCCGTGACTGTCCACCTGCTCCCACCCTGGCCAGGGCTGGACGCGCATGGGGGGGTGGCGGTTCCTCCGGCAGCGTCTCTTCCCCTCCGCAGCCTCCAAGGAAGACGTCATGGCTCCGGAGGGTCTGTGCTTGGCAAGGAGACGGCCCGGAGCCCTCGCCTTGGCTCGGGGCCGCCTGGCTCGGCTCCTGCTGGTCTGGACGGCCCTGTCCTGTGTGGCCGGTGGCCAAGGCCGCTGGGACGGGGCGGCGCAGCCTGCAGGTCCTGGACGCGTGCGCGGGCAGGGTGGCCCCGCTGTCTTGCACGGGTGCGCGCTGCCCCATGCTTCAAGACCCCTGGGGTGTGGGCGGGGCTGTCCTGGGGCGCCGGGGCGTGTCCAGCACGACAAGGGCTCACCGGCCACCGCCCTCTCCCCAAGGCCGAATGTGTGCGGCCCGCGTTTCCACGCCTACTGCTGCCCCGGCTGGAGGACCCTGCCCGGCGGGAGCCAGTGTGTCGTGCGTGAGTGCCGCGGCCTTCTGGGGTGGGGGTGGGCGCAGGCCGGGCCGGGCAGCTCTCCTACCTGCTGCAAGTCCCCTCTGTTTACAAGGGGACTTTCGAGACCAGTCTGGGCAACACAGAGACACCCGCTCTCTACTGAAAAGTTTTTAAAACAATTAGCAGGGCGTGGTGTTGCTCACCTGTAGTCTCAGCTACTTGGGAGGCCGAGGGGGGAGGATCGCTTGAGGCCAGGAGTTCAAATCTGCAGTGAGCAATGATGACGCCACTGCACTCCAGCCTTGGGGACACAGTGAGACGCTGTCTCTAAAATAAAATAACCATCATACCACCTGCCCAGCCCAGACTGAGGGTGGGGGGGTGGCCCCTGCAAATGAGGGGGTGGGGCTGCTAGGAGCAGAGCCGGAGACAGGGACAACAGGTAGTGGCCACCTCCGTGCTCCGGCCGGGCCGGGCCCCGGCAGAGTGGGGACGGCACAGGGCTTGGTCCGGGCCTTGACGGCCACCGCTCTGCCCGCAGCCGTCTGCAGGCGCTCCTGCGGCCAGGGCTTCTGCTTCCAGCCCAACCTGTGCACCTGCGCGGATGGGACGCTGGCCCCCAGCTGCGGCCACAGCGGAGGTGAGCAGGAAGCAGCCCCTGAGGGGAGGGAAGAGAAGGTCACAGGCACTGGGATGTCACTAGGAGCCCGGGCTGGGCCTTCCCCGGGGCACTGCGGGGCGTCCGCGCCTCACCGTGCGTCCGGCTGCCCATCTGTCCGTCGGTCCGTCTGTCCGCAGGGCCGGGCTGCAGCGTGAGCTGCATGAACGGCGGCAGCTGCCGAGGGCAGTCCTGCCTGTGTCAGAGGGGCTACGCGGGCACCGTGTGCGGGCAGCGTGAGTACCCCCGGGGCCCTCCCTTGTGCACCTTGGGCCTGGGGCCCAGAAGGTCAGTCTCTGCAGCCACCTGCCGCCTGCGCGCGGGTCCCTCTCCCCCATCGGAGATTGGGGTGGACACGCTCACTGTCACCATCTTATCATTCGGTCTGGGCCAGATGGCGGGGACCTGGGTGAAGGCGGGCTGGCTCAGGACCCTGGCTCACCCTGTGCCCGGACGCCCTCTGGGCCCCGGTCCCCTCTCCCTCCACAGCTGTCTGTGACCACGGCTGTCACAACGGGGGCCGCTGCATTGGGCCCAACCGCTGCGCCTGTGTCTATGGCTTCATGGGGCCCCAGTGTGAGAAAGGTACCACGTGGGCGGGGGGACAGGAGACTGGCAGGGGCGGGAGGGTGTTTGCTGGTGGCTCCCCGAGGACATGGCCCGGACTCTCTCCCGACTGGCCCCTTCCTGCTGCCGGGCACTCTGAGGACATTTCCTTCGCTTGCTCAGCCGTCCTGGCAAACACCTGCTCTTCCCCGGCCCCGGGCGCTTCTGGGAGGAGAGAGAGAGGGCGCCCCAGTCTGAGAGGCCCTGGGGGGGTGAAGAACCCCAGAAACAGAAAATTCTAACCCGGGGGCTTCAAGGCTCTGACAAGGGGTAGGGGTGCCCCGCCCCGCAGGACGTGGAGGGCAGAGGGACTGTCGCCTGCAGGAGGGAGGGGCAGGGAGGGCTTCCTGGAGGAAGGGGTCTGGTAGGGTAGGTGGGAGTGAACCCCAGGTCTGGTCTGAACACGGGGCGGGGCACGATGGTCCCCGGGGCCAGGAGGCGGGAGACCCCAAGCTCAGAGTTGGCCTCGGCCCTGGAGGCCTGGGGCTGAGGAGAGAGGGCGTCTGAGCACCAAAGGACAGAAACGACAGGGCCGAGAAGGAGGAAGGGGGCAGGAGCCGGTGGTTTTGGGGTGAGATTATCAGATGCAGGTTACTGTGACCCGCAGGGCTGAGGAGCAAAGGCGGGCAGGGCCTGGGGACCGATGGCAGTGGTGGGAGGTGGTGGCGAGGAGTGGGAGCATCTGTGTCCCAAGCCGGAGACGATGGCCGTGAACTGGACGCCGGCCGGGCGGCTGGGGTGGGGGAGGGGCCTTGGCTCCAGGGTGGGCGTTTGGAAACCTGATGACAAGAAGGCAGAATTGGGGGCTGGGCTGTGGGAGGCGGGACAAGCTCGGGTGGCCGAGGGGAGGGAGGCTCAGTGGGGAGGGGCGACAGAGGAGCGTCCTGGGCTGGGTGGTGGACAGCGAAGGCCCCAGAGAGGGGCAGGGCCCGGTGCCAAGGTTCCTGGAACTGGGTTTTGGCCCCGGGGGAGTCAGGACAGCCGGGGGTCTCCGTGAAGCCCCTCCCCCACACCAGGGGTGGCTGGAGGGGGTGGCTCCGGGAGGGGCTGCCTTTGGCTGCCTGCCAGCCATTGATTGGAAACATCTGGAGGATGGAGCCAGGAAGTCACTTCTGGGCCCCTGCACCTCAGGGCTCAGGAGACCCGGGGCGGCCACCTCTGGGCCAGGCCCTGGGGATCGGGGATGTGACGTTGTGGGTCCGGAGCATTTCTGCAGATGGCGGGTCCCTCCCCAGACTTGGGAGATTTGGCGGGGCCAGAGTGAGCTCTAGGATTAGACGGGCTCTCAGCCGGGCAAACGTGGGTCCCTGCTCCTGCCCGAAGGGAGGGTGGGCCTGGTGGGGGTCTTGTTTAGACAGACCTTGAGCTTTCTGGGCTTGGAGGTCCTGGCCTCCCTTTTGTAGGGTGGTCAGGGAATGCTTTGAAGAAAAAGGGTTTTGACGGGTACATAGGAGTTCGTTAGGTAGGGAAGGGGAAGAAGAGAGGCATTCTATCCAAGAAGGGGAACAGCATGAGCGAAGGCTTGTGGTCAGGGATAAGCCGGGCATGTGGGCGCAGCGAGGCAGAGGAGGCGGCGGAGCTGCAGGGGGCGTTGGGGGCAGGGACAGCCCGTGGCCAGCTGTCACTCCTCTCTGCCCTGCAGACTACCGGACGGGGCCCTGCTTCGGCCAAGTGGGCGCCGAGGGGTGCCAGCGCCGGCTGACGGGCCCCGCGAGCACCAAGACACTTTGCTGTGCCACCGTGGGCCGAGCCTGGGGCCTTCCGTGTGAACTCTGCCCTGCACAGCCACACCCCTGCCGCCGGGGCTTCCTCCCCAATGTCCACTCGGGGGCCTGCCAGGGTGAGCAGTGGAGTCGGGGGCGGGGGCCCCCCGGGAGCCTCGGGCCGCGTTGGTTCCTCCCTCTGGCGGGCGTCTCACTCCCTGGACCGGGCGCCGTCCCCGCAGACGTGGATGAGTGCCAGGCCATCCCGGGCCTGTGCCAGGGCGGCAGCTGCGTCAACACGGTGGGCTCCTTCCTGTGCCGCTGCCCGGCCGGACACCGGCTCAGCGACAGCGGAGCGGCCTGCGAAGGTGGGTGACGGGAAGGGCAGGGCCGGGGACCTCCTCCCAGCTCTGGGCAGCCCAGGCTCCCCGCAGGCAGCAGGGGCAGAGGGGTCGGCCCGGGGAGGGTCCCGCCTCTGACTCCGTCTACGCAGACGCGGACAAGCGTCTCGGCGTGCCGGGCCTTTGCACCACCGGGGGCGGCCTCGCCAACAGGGTCGGGGGCTACGCGTGCCCCTGTCCCCACGGCTTCCCCAGCAGCCTGGACGGCCCCGCCCCCGGGCGATCCAGGGGGCCCAGGGGGCTGGGGGAGGCGAGGACGGGTCTCCCCTGGGATTTGAGCTCTCTGCCCCCAGCCTCGGTGCTGCCATAGGCCCCAACCCAGGGGGCCCCTGCCACCCTCCGTCTCACGCCTTTCAGCTCTCCGGCCTCCAGTCTCAGGTCTCTGCGCTGCGCCTCCTCCCGGAAGCCCACCCGCTTGCACCCCCCACTCTCTGCCTGGCCAAGCGGGAACCCACCCTCTGGGCTCTCATGCCGTGTTTTGCTGTCTTTTTTTTTTTTTTTTTTTTTGAGACAGAGTCTCACTCTGTTGCCCAGGCTAGAGTGCTGTGGCGTCAGCCTCGCTCACAGCAACCTCAAACTCCTGGGCTCAAGCGATCCTCCTGCCTCAGCCTCCCGAGTAGCTGGGACTACAGGCATGCGCCACCATGCCCGGCTCATTTTTTCTATATATTTTTAGTTGGCCAATTAATTTCTTTCTATTTATAGTAGAGACGGGGTCTCGCTCTTGCTCAGGCTGGTCTCGAACTCCTGACCTTGAGCGATCCTCCGGCCTTGGCCTCCCAGAGTGCTGGGATTACAGGCGTGAGCCGCTGCGCCCTTACTTGTCTTGCTGTCTTGGTGAGCTGGTGGTCAGGCCTCAGAGGAGGGGGGCCGCCCAGGAATCGGATGCTGGCGGTGGGCGCTGGGCAGAGTCCTGGTTTGGGGAGAGCGGCGGGAGCTTAGGGGTCCCCCAGCGCCACCTCTGGGCCCCTCAGGCTGGTGTGTAGCAGGCAAGGCTGAGAATGTTGTGTTTGGAGGCCGGCCCGTGTGCGGTGGCCGACTCCAAACTTCCTAGGTCTCCACCTCTGGGGGGCTGTCACAGCCAGCGAGGGGGAGAGGGCACCTTTGGGCCCATCCCTCGGACTGCGGGCGCCTTTCTCAGCTGCCAAAGTGCCGGGGCTGGACTCGAACCAAGTCAGGTGCCTCCCAGTGTCGGCTTTGGCATCAGCGCCGGGTTCCAGCTGCCGGCCAAGCTGCTTGCAGACTCCGTGGCCTTGGGCAAGTGACTTGCCACGCTCGGTGCCTCAGTTTCCTCATCTGTAAAATGGGAGATAATAGCCGTACCTAGCTCACGGAGTCGTGCCGAAGATTAAATAAGATACAACTTGCGGAGTGATTTGTGGAGGGCTGGTACACAGTGGGCGCTCAATACACACTCAGAGACACGGCGAGGGCCGAGGTGAAGTTGAGGCTTAGCTCACAGTGGGTGCTTAACGCAATGACGGCATCGTTTTTGTTAAAATTCTTTTTCATTTAAACCTTTTTTTTTTTTTTTTATAAAATACAATGTCTCACTCTGTCACCCAGGCTGGAGTGCAGTGGCGTCATCATAAATCACTGCAGCCTCCAACTCCTAGGCTCAGGTGATCCTCCTGCCTCAGCCTCCCGAGTAGCTAGAACTACCCAGCTAATTATGTTTATTTTTGGAGGGACGAGATCTCACTATGATGCCCAGGCTGGTCTGGAACTCCTGGCCTCAAGTGATCTTTCCGCCTCAGCCTTCCAAATAGTTAGGGTTATAGGTGCCTGTTAAAATTCTTATATTCTGTCTCTGTCTTCCCTACTTGACGGGCAGTTCTTGTCACTAGGGTTTGTTTGTGTTTTTTGTGTTTTTTTTTTCTCCTACCTTGTGACTTCATTTTTATTTTATTTTTATTTCAAAATGTTTACGGGGGTACAGACGTCTGGGTGACATCTATCGCATTTGCACCACCGGAGTCAGGATTGCAAGCGCGCCCCTCCCCCATCCTCCCCCAACGCACACATTTTGGCAACTGTGTAACCTTGAACGAGTTTGTTGACCTCTCCTCGTCTACGTGGCTTAGAGGAAAGAACCGGGACTCCCACATGTGTATCTGGGGGCCCCCAAGGGCATGGGGTGGGGCTGGGGAGGCGGAAACGTTTGCCTATCTTTCCAGCCTGGGGGCAGGTTCGGGGTGGCCCTCCCGGCTGATGGGAGGGGTTTCCCAACTGTGAGCCACCGGCCAAGATTTGTGGGTTTTTAAACCTAAAAATACGCTCTTCTGGTCAGAGCCTGAGAAATCTGATCGCCAAGTAAAGCCGTTGGACTCAAGGGCACGGTGGGAAGCGGAAGGGCGTCCGTGGTTCTCACACATGGGGGCCTCTGCCTCATTCTCCCCGGGGCCCCTGGCATTCCCAGGCTTGTGGGTTTCCCTGTAGTGCTCAAGGCCAGCGAGTGAGGACACGCAGCTGTAGATCTTACCGTCCCTCCCTGGCCTCCTACCAAGGAGGGTCTTCTGCAGTGTGGTTGAATACCTGCAGTGATGGGGATCTCACTACCTATACTGGGTTTGGATATGGGAACATTTGACTGGAATGAGCCCATATCTACCTCCGTGCGATCATTTGGAAATCTCGGTAATAAAAGATGGCACTGAGGCCCGGCGCGGTGGCTCACGCCTGTAGGGCCAAGGCGGGAGGATTGCTTGAGGTCAGGAGTTCGAAACCAGCCTGAGCAAGAGTGAGACCCCGTCTCTACTATAAACAGAAAGAAATTAATTGGCCAACTAATGTATATAGAAAAAATTAGCCGGGCATGGTGGCGCCGGCCTGTAGTCCCAGCTACTCGGGAGGCTGAGGCAGGAGGATTGCTTGAGCCCAGGAGTTTGAGGTTGCTGTGAGCTAGGCTGACGCCACGGCACTCACTCTAGCCTGGGCAACAAAGCAAGACTGTCTCAAAAAACAAATAAAAAATAAATAAAAAAAAATTGTGAAAAGATGGCACTGAGTGAGAAGTGGCCACGTGCCACACTTATCATCCGGGCAACACTTGCAAGATGAGGTGGGTGCTCAGAATGTGCCCGGTTTATGGATGGGGAAACTGAGGCACAGAGAGGCAGGGAGACCCATCCTACAGGCAGTGCTGGTGCAGCTGGGATTTGGGTCCAGGCCGGGTAGCTGATGTCCCCTGACTCCCCTCCCTGTGCTCACCGGCCCCACGCCCTCACTCCGCAGACCACCGGGCAGGCACCTGCTTCTCGGCGCTCTTGGGGGGCCGCTGCGCCAGAGGGCTTGCCGGCCCCCACACTCGCAGGCAGTGCTGCTGTGACAAGGGCAGGTGCTGGGCGGCCGGGCCCGTCCCGGAGCTGTGTCCGCCTCGGGGCTCTGGTGAGTCAAGCTTGTTCCTTTAGATCGGGGGCCCAGGGCTACAGTTCCAAGGACCCACCCAGCCTCACCCCTGCCTCCTTGCAGACAAGTTCCAGTGGCTGTGCGCGCAGGGGCTGCCCCTGCTGCCCGCCCGCCCTGGCCTCTCCCCTGGCCTCCCGACCTTCGGCGCGGGTCCTGGCCTCGGTCTGGCGCGACATGGCCCCCACGTGTCCAGTGGGCGTGGGGTCCCCAGCCTGGGCCCTGGCAACTCCGACGCTGGTGAGGCCTGAGACTCCCGGGGACGGTTCCGAGAGGGGGGGGCGGAGGGGAGGGACTTGGCCCAGGCGTCAGAGAGAAGATAGGGGCTTTGCGAGGGGAGTCCAGCCCGGCGTAGGGTCTGAGCTGGGTCTAAGCTCTGGACTGGGGTCTGACTCTAAGGCAGGCATCTCCGGGACGTAGGGGGACCGGGTCCCAGCACCGGAGCGGGTGGGGGGGGGACCCAGAGGCAAAGCCCGGCCGGCGCTCAGGTGCCCCCAGCAGCCCCACCCACAGGCACCGCCGCCCTGAACCAGACCAGTGACATGTGCCGGCACTTCACCCACCTGTGCCCCCATGGCTGCTGCCGGCCCGCCCTGTCCAGCCACCGCTGCGAGTGCCGCGTGGGCCACGCCCCAGGCCTGCGGGGCCGGTGCGTGGGTGAGCGGCGGCCGGGAGCAGGGGGGCAGCACGTCCTGCCGAGCTGGGAGCTCAGGGTCCTCTGCCCGTAGACGTGGACGAGTGCACCAGCAGCCCCTGTCACCACGGGGACTGCGTCAACGCGCCGGGCTCCTACAGCTGCCGGTGTCACCAGGGCTTCCAGGCCACGCTCAGGAAGCAGGCGTGCGTGGGTACGGCCGGCGTCCCTCTGTCCGTCTGCGCGTGGGGGTGACGGTGAGGAGGGCCGGGCCTGGGCTGGGCTGGGGTGGGGTGGGAGGCGCCTCGTTAGTGCCCGCCTGCCTCCCCCCCAGACGTGGACGAGTGTGCTGCTAGCGGTGGCCTTTGCCACCCGGGCCGCTGCGTCAACACGGAGGGCAGCTTCCGGTGTGTCTGCAGCGCAGGCTTCGAGCTCAGCCGCGACGGGAAGAGCTGTGTGGGTGAGTTGGGGGTGCGCAGGGAGGCAGGAGGCTCCTGGGCCCCACTAGCTGCCCTTTATGGCCACCTCGAGTCTTCATTTCTGTCCTGTCACCCGCCTTCCGCCCTACGATGACTCCTCTGCTCACCTGAGCCAAGCAGCCTACCTTACACCCTTCTTGTCACCTGTCCACCTCGACTCTTGCCTCCTTCCTGAATTCATTCCAGCGAACCACAAGACCAAGCCAGTGGCCCTGGTCTGAACGAACCAGGTTCCCTCTCCTGTCCCAGGACATCCTCGAATGGCCTGGACACAAAGAGGGCTTGGGATCAGGACCTTGGAGAGCGCCCTCCTCTCGGGCTTACTGTGGGCCATTTTGTCCGTGGCCGGTGGCCGGGTGGGCCAGGCATAGGTCTGTGCCCGCCAGCCACAGCCTGTGGGAACCAGTGGGTGGGGGGACCTCTTGACTCTGCCACCTTGTCTAAGGAGAGCTGCCTTAAAGTCTTCTCTCCTGTGGAAGGATTTTGTCCTTTCCCCATTCCTCCATTTAAAACAAATCTTTTCTAGCATTTTTATCGACGTGTCATTCACAAACCGTGAGAATGACCATGTAAAGAGTGCAATGCAACGGTTTTGAGTGTGTGCACAGGGCTGTCCAAGTATCACCGTAATCTGATTTGAGAACATTTTTATCACTTCCAAAATAAACCCCGGATATCCACGCATAGTCATGCCACAAACCTCCATCCCCCCACAGTTCCAGGCACTAGGCTAAATTATTTTCTTTTTTTTTGAGACAGAGTCTCGCTTTGTTGCCCAGGCTAGAGTGAGTGCCGTGGCATCAGCCTCAGTCACAGCAACCTCAAACTCCTGGGCTCAAGCGATCCTCCTGCCTCAGCCTCCCGAGTAGCTGGGACTACAGGCATGCGCCACCATGCCCGGCTAATTTTTTCCATATGTATTAGTTGGCCAATTAATTTCTTTCTATTTATAGTAGAGACGAGGGTCTCGCTCTTGCTCAGGCTGGTTTCAAACTCCTGACCTCGAGCAATCCACCCGCCTTGGCCTCCCAGAGTGCTAGGATTACAGGCGTGAGCCCGGCCCTAAATTATTTTCTGCCTCTGTGGATTTGCCTGTTCTGAATAATTTATATAAATGGGGTCCTACACTATGTGGGTTTTTGTGTCTGGCTTCTTTCTCTTAGCAATACTGTCGTCAGGATTCATCCATATAGCAGGTGTCAGGGCTTCGTACCTTTTTATGGCTGAATAATATTCCACTGTATGAACAGACTACATTGTGTTTATCTGTCCATCACTTGATGGGCATTGGGGTGCTGCCACATTTTGCCGTTAGGGATAAGGCCATTGAGAAAGCATTCATGTACAGATTTTTGTGTGTGCATCTCATTCATGCATTCCTTTTTTTTTTCTGTACATACTACCCTTTGTTGTTTAAAACTGACATTTTGGGGAAGAACTAATTTTTGTACCTGCCACCTTCTTTTAAACTTAGACTATTTTCTTAGTAGCTGATGGCTCTTTTTTTTCTCTTTCATTTTTTAAAAACTTGAAGTGAGATTCACACAACCTAAATTTAATCATTTAAAAGCGATTATGTCCGTCACATTTAGTACATTCCCAATGTCATGCAACCTCCACTTCATTTAGTAAAACACATTATTTTTGCATTTTTAAATTGTGAAAAAAATATGTAGCATAAAATTTGCCTTTTCGCCATTTGTAACTGAACAATCTGTTGGCATTAAGTAGATTCTCAATGTTTTGCATCCACCACTTTATTTATTCAATTATTTTTTGCATTTTTTATCATGGCAAATTATATGTAACAAAATGTATCATTTTAACCCTTTACGGAGAGAGCGAGGAGAACGCGCAGGGCAGTGGGCGGGGTGGGGGGGGCACCCAGGGGGTGGCTGGGAGCAGGCAGGCTGGGGGCCTCAGTGGCTGCAGAAGAACGGAGCAATGCAGGTGCGGGATCCGTACACAAGTGAAGACCGGCAAGGTGACGGCGACGCAAGGGTCGGAGCCGAGGGCCAAGAAGTCAGGCAGTGTGCTGGGTGGGGGAGCGTAGGGCAGATGCAGCGCCGTGTGTTCGTCTTTTTTTCTGATGGAACTGCGGTGCTGCGGTGGGGTGTGTCCGATTTGGGTCTAGCGCGTGTGCAGTGGATGGCTGGCCTGATTGTATTGTGCCACTGTGTTCATTGAGTTTCATGGTTGCAAGTTGTGTCTCACATATATGTTGTTGTTTGGCGTTGTTAGCCGTATTGTGGCTGTGTTGTTTGTTGTTGCACCTGCTCGAGTGTAAGTAGTGGTTGGCAATTACAAATACGCTTTGTTGGTGTATGTGTATCTTGGTGTTAGGATGTTCTGGATATCCTGTTTTGTTTGTCTCTACAGTGGCGTGCGTGCGTTTCTCTTTTGTGGTATCATTTTGTTTTTCTTGACTCTTTTGTTGATTTGTTTGCGTGTTCTGCTTGGTTTTGATTGTTTTTTCATTTTTTTTTTTTTGTGTTTTGCGTTTGTTGTCTGTTTTGTTGTGTTTTCTTTGTATGTTGTATGTTTTCACTAGTTTTTCCTGTTTGTTTAGTACTTTTGATTGTTCTCTGTTTTGTGACTATTATTGCCTTACTTTCACATCTATTCTATTCCTTATTTTGTGACGTATTTTGTGTGTTGTGATTCGTTGTGCTATGTTTGGTGTTGTGCCTTCTGGGTGTTTTTTTTTCCAGCTTTCTTTTCTTTGGTTTGTTTATTCTATTCTGTTTTTTCTATCTCGTTATCTTTTTGGCATTCATTTTCTTTGTGGTTGTATGTGCTGATGTTGTCGTTGGTGTGTATTGCTTTTTCTAGTTGATTTTCTTCATGTATTTTGTTTTTTTTTCCTGTAATACCAGCCTGAGCAAGAGCAAGACCGTCTATCTCTACTATAAATAGAAAGAAAGTAATTGGCCAACTAATATAATATAGAAAAAATTGCACGGACGGCATGGTGGCGCATGCCTGTAGTCCCAGCTCTCGGGGGCTGAGGCAGGAGGATCGCTTGAGCCCAGAAGATTGAGGTTGGCTGATGCCACGGCACTCACTCTAGCCTGGGCAACAAAGTGAGACTCTGTCTCAAAAAAAAAAAAAACAAAAAAAGTAAAATCGTTAAAATGATACATTTTGTTACATTATAATTTGCCCATGATAAAAAATGGAGCAAAATAATTGAATATATAAGTAGGTAGGGATGCAAAACAATATGAGAATCTACTTAATGCCACACAGATTGTCAGTTACAAGCTGGCGGAAAAGCGACAACAATTTTAATGCTCAACCAAAATTGTTTTTCAGAATTATAAAAATGCAAAATCAATTGTTTTTTTACTAAATGAAGGTGGAGGGTTGCATAGACATTGCGAAATGTATCTAAATGTGAACGGCATAATGCGCCTTTTAAAGTGTTAACTTTAGCGATGTTGTCGGTGAATCCTCACTGTCAAGGTTATTTAAAAAGGCAAAGAGAAAAAAAGAGCCCATCAGAATACTAAGAAACATAGTCCTAAGTGTAAAAGAAGGTGGCCAGGTACAAATTAGTATCTGCCATTCCCCAAATGTCAGCTATTAAAGACAACAAAGGGTAGTATGTACACGAAAAAAAAAGGATGCAATGAGATGGACGATCGCACACACAAAAATCGTACATGAAAACTTTCTCAATGGCATTATCCCTAACTGGCAATATGTGCCAGCTGCAGCACCAATGGAATGGCCCACTCAAGTGATGACAGATAAACATATATTAGTCTGTTCATGACAGTGGAATGGGAATATTTACTTGCAGGGCCACTCCAAAAAGTACCGCAGCCCTCCCCGAACCTCAGTATAACGACTCAGAGACACGATCGTTACGGCGCGCGGACTACAGAGAGAGCAACAGCACCCAACAAAGACCATAGTGTAGAGCCATTATATAAATTCATGTCATGGAACTAGGCAAATCCACGAAGACAGAAAAATAATTTAGGGCCGAGGGCTTCCATGCCTGTAATCCCAGCACTCTGGGAAGGCCCAAGCGGGTGAGATTGACTCCGAGGTCAGAGTTCGAAACCAGCGCCTGAGCAAGACAGCGACCCTAGTCCTCTACTATAATAGAAAGAAAGTTAATCTGTCAAACTAAGCATATGGACAAACAAATAGCCGCAGTGTGGGTGCCATGGCTGTATGTGTCATCCCAGCTACAAAGAAAACGCACGGCACTCACTCTAGCCTGGGCAACAAAGCGAGGACTCTGTTCAAAAAAAAAAAAATGAAAATAATTTAGCACTAGTCTGGGCAACTGTGGGGGGATGGAGGTTCTGTGGCATTGACTATGCGTGGATATCGGGGCTTTATATTTGGAGGTGCAATAAAATGTTTCAAATCAGATTACGGTGATTCACTTGACAGCCCTGTGACACACTCAAAACCGTTGCATTGCACTCTTTACCATGTCCCAGTCTCACGGTTTGTGAATGAACACGTCGAGTAAAAATGCTAAGAAGATTTGGTTGTTTTTTTTTTTTGTTTTGTTTTTTTCCTTTGAGACAGAGTCTCGCTTTGTTGCCAGGCTAGAGTGAGTGCCTGGCGTCAGCTGGTCACAGCCAACCTCAATCTTCCTGGGGATCAGCATCAAACGTCCTCCTCAGCCTCCTGATGTAGTCTGGGACTACAGGCATGCGCACCATGCCCGGCTAATTTTTTGTATATATATATTTTAGGTTGGTCAATTAATGTTCTTTCTATTTTGGTAGAGACGGTCTCGCCTCACAGGCTGTTTCGACTCCCTGCCTTGGCA